GTTTCCACTGGCAACACTTAGACAGACGCTGACCTCTGCCCTCTCCACCTGGCACTGCAGCGCACCTCTCTGGAGTATATATGTACAGGTAAGCCATGGTCCTCATAAGATACAAAAACCCATTGCATTTTTTAATAATGGATTAAAATCAGATCACTGGGAATGAGCTTCACTAACAGCTACTTGCCCCATCTCTCCCAGCGTGTTGCACTTACTCTCTACCGAATCAGTACTTGCTTATTTTGGCATGATGACCCTCATGAGACTTGTGTTTCAGGTGGAGAACCGTTACCATAGTGCTGGCCGGGCGCGTCGCTTTTTTTACTCCGTAACCAGAGACAGCAGCAGTGCGGTGCCACGCCTGTTTGCAATTGTGGCTGAACAACAAAGGAAGCAGCTGGTGGACGCTGCTCAGAGGTGAGTGCAGAGAGGATGATGGGAAGGTGCGGGGTTATCCTGCACTCCCTTTGCATTGGAACAGGCATTGCTACAACTTCAGAAGATAAAATCAAGATGATCACAGTTTTCCCCTTTCTTTCTTTTTCTTTTTTGAGCAATAAGCCAAGAAAAGTAATTTTCACAAATATTCTCATCAAAATTCACGTGTCCTACATTACCTATTCATTGTTATGAAAACACCAGACTTTAGTCGCATTTTAAAATAAACTGTTGCAGATGCGGTAATTTTTTAAGGTCTTTATAGGTCTTGTTGCCATGACGCTGCCTTGCCTATCCTGCCAGAGAATGGCCTCAGCAACCGCATCCGTGGACTGTTTGAAAGTGCCATAGCAACAGAGACGGGTTCTCGCTGTCCTTTACTTTGGAGGATGTACATGCACTTCCTGGTGAGATGGCAAATAATGTGCACATACATTTACTGCTCGTGACTCCTTTCCTGTACATGACCAGTCAGTTGAAGGAAATATACATAAATAGGAGAAATTAATAAATTCATAATCTGTCGCAATAGTTATAGCAGCATAGTTACAGACTTTACTGAAAGGGTGTCACAGAATCACCTTGTCAAATATGCTTAGAGATTCAGACACAAAGGCAAAAAGCAAAACATGTTTAGGGCAGTTGGAAAGGTTGCATGTATCAATGATCTGTCAAACTAAGAGGTAGTAATTTATTATATTAAGCTAAAAGAACATATATGTGGGTTAGTTATGTTGGGCACTAACTCTCACAGCAACTGACCAGTAAGTATAGTAGACTGGCCTAACCATCTGTCCACTTAAATTAGAGAAAATACATTTTGCATCAGAAAGCTTTACATATTTTCAAAAGAATCTAATTGGAAAATCAAAAAGGTGCTTTTCAGTAATGGTGTGAAAAGCTTGCTGTGCCTTTAAGATCAAAATTTGTTCAGTATGTCTGTAGGTTTTCTGTTCATTTTCCAAATATTGACCTTTTCATTTTCCAAATATTGGCTTAGAGATACTAACTAATGCACACACTAAGACCAGCTCATACAGACATACTTTGTGTAATCTGCACATTTGAATACACAAATATTGACCACCAGTATAAAGTCTTAAGAGTATGTATGTGTGTGTGTGTGTGTGTGTGTGTGTGTGTGTGTGTGTGTGTGTGTGTATATGTGTATGTATGTATATGTATGTATATATATATATATATAATGTGTGTGTGTGTGTGTGTGTGTGTGTTTGCGTGTGTGTATTTCTAGGTGTCAGAAGGTAAGGTGGATAAAGCCACAGGGATCTTCTACAGGGCTTTGCAGAATATCCCCTGGGCTAAGGTGAGGCACAGACTGCTTACTTAATTTTTATATTACGAGAAATTAACTGTCTGTGTGTGTGTGTATATGAATGTAAATTTGCGTTTATGCCATTGTGTGCGAGATCAGGGTTTGTACATGGACGCAGTACAGCTGTTCCCTGAGCATCTGCAAGAGTTTATAGATCTGATGACAGAGAAAGAACTCAGACTCCGACTGCCATTAGAAGAACTGGACATACTACTGGAGGACTGAACGCACGCATCTCAATCAAGAACTTTAGTTTTCTTTACTGACAACATGCTAACCACATATTGGCACACGTGATGGAAAGAACAGGAGACTGTATGCAAACTCAGATGCTGACCCACATGTAGCTGCAGCATTAAACAGTGAAGTTGCAGTTATCTTATCTAAAGATGGGCAAGGAGCCGCCCTTTGTACATTATATTGAATGCTTTTTTGTCTCAGCAAATCACTTGAACTGTTTTAGTAACTGACACTGTCAATAAATACGATTCTCATTCATGTGTTGTGGCCCGTAGGTTTGTTTATGCATATCAGCACAGGCACACTGAGGTTTAAAATGTTATGTTATAAAACTCTGACATGCTTATATTAGCAGTAATTATAAAGAGCAACTTCACATTGGTGTCTAATGAAAGAAATTGTGAACAAATACTGAGATGCATGAGAAACATAAAAATATTGTCACTATTATCAAATTTTAACTGCAAGTAGAAATGCTTCAACTTGTTCATAATGCTTTGGAAACCCCTGGGTTAAGACTCCAGATGATTATGAGGTTAAGTGACACTGTATCCCTGCACCTTGGTGAAATACAACCTTACCCAGATACCAAGAATAGAAAAACTGGCAGTGTCAAATTTAGAAAGTTATCACTTTCCAAGTGGTGCTATTTTCAGTAGCTTTCAGTTATTTCTTAAATTAAATTTAGTTATGTGAACAGTGCTACTGTGGAAATCTGTCACAGAGGTGGACTATGTGCTGTTGCTGTTTTTCTATTTATTTAAATCCTCATCTTTTTAAGAATTTCATAGGGACATGGGCAATTAAGTCTCATTTTTAAGGCAACACATCCGTGCTTCATTTACTTCCTCTGTGGCTAGCGACTCTATTTGGCAACTCACCTGTGAATTACCTGCAGGTTTTTTTTTACTTGCCCTATTTGTACATTACTCAACACAGGATCTTCGGTCCAAAGGTGGAGTCGCTCCCTCCTTCCGCCGTTGTCGCGCCGTGGTTTGACCATGGGGTTTGAGGGTTTGACGCATTGCAGATCCGCCCTGGCCAATCAGTGGCCTCTGTACATTGAGCAGAATATTGCGGCTCTGCACTGTCCAATCACAATGCGCCTTTCAAAATTAAAACTGCAACTTCACCAGTGCCGTCAGCCGCAGCGTTTACATCTTATCCTTCCGCCTGCTTAAAAATATGCGTAACACAAAATAGTCCACCGCTTTCCGTGTAACTTTCATTGATTTAAAAGACTAGTGTCAATAGACACAAACAAACACCCTTTTAAGCCTCTTTTCTTTCAAACAATCACTATTATGGACAACGCAATTAATTTAACAAAAGTTATGATTATCTTTTTTCCCTAGAGAAAATTATCCTCATAATAATTCGCCACTGCATTTTACCAGGCTATATTTTAAGACAATAAAAACAATGTACATGGCACGTTATATGTTATGTAAGTAAATAGTCAAAGAAAAAGTAGTTTTTACCTGAACATACAATATTTTTAAGTCAATTTACAGGCAGTTTAACAGGTCCGGATTACAATAACATTGTCTGTGATTTTGATGCCATATGTAATGTCGGCCCATTGGTCAAGAGACATCAGCAGACATTATGATTGGTGCCAGGTGAATGGGACACACAGCACCTTCATTTCCATGGCCACAGAAGATAATGCAAGTGCCTTAGTGTAAACAGATACTGGGAGGTATATGAGACAGTCTCCCAAAGCCAAAATGTGACTAATAACTCAACATAAATAATGGATTCTGGCTCTGAGACAGAGAATCTCGTGATAAAATAAATATATGTATATAATGTGTGTATATATATGTGTATAAATAAAATATAATGTAACAGTGTGAATACTGGATTCAGAGCTAAACTTAAAATAAAGTTTAGGATTGCAGTCTATATTTGTGTGAGTTTTGATGCGGCATAAAGATTTTGAGACAAAAAGGTTCCAAATGGATGTACTGAAACCTATTTTTGACAAACTTATTGAGTTTACCACAAATTTGACTCTCCTTGCTGTCCTCCAATATTAACAGGCATCTAATAAAACTGCACTCCCTGTGAAAGTTTGCTGCAGTCTACTTTAGTACCTGCAGAGGTCAAACTATTGGGTTTTGCAGCCAATAGACCAACTGCCTGACAGATGTTTGAAGTCCCATGAAAGAAAACTCCTGTGAATTTGACAGCCTAAATGAGACTGATGAGAAGTCAGCTTGCTTTTTTATTGTCCAGCAAAATCAACACAAGATAAACTGAGATTAAGTCTTTCCAGTAGGTATCATCTCTCCCATCATGTACAGTCAGCCAAGTATCATTATTTCCTGAATAAATGGCAATGATAATTAGCAGGGTTAATTTGATTAGGTTTAGTGATCACAGATTCTAAACTTTGTCTAGTTTCATTCAAATTGGTTAGTGTGAGTTTGTTTTCTGATTGCATATGTTCAATAACAGAGAAATACACAGCATCAAGGTGGATTACCAAAGTGGGCAACTGCAATGTGACCCAAGGTTCAATGCATGTCATGCATGCAGATTTATTAGGGATGGTGCACTGCAGAAGTAGAAATGAGAACATCAGGAGCTGATGGTAAATTCTTACCCTAATGACCTTTTAACAGGTTTGTACACATTGAAGGAACTTGACTCCAACTTTAAGTTGCTCTCAATGTAGACTACACAGTTTCAAAAGAATTACAGAAAACAAACAAAGCTGAACAAAGGTAGGTATACAGAGCTATTATGTAAATAGGCTACAGGTAGGTGTAAATCTTACTGTAACTGCAGGCTTACTTCGCTTCTCTTTGTAAATGGAGGCTGTTTTTTAAACTCAGCAAGCCAGATAAGTATCGTCCCTGTGTGTAATACGACATGCTCAGACACGGGTACGTACACAACAACAGGCTCGTGTGTATGTGTAAGTGCGTGTACGTTTGAAGAGCGAGGACGCCTCAGCGAATGTGTCCACGACGCGGAGGAATACATTGGGCCGTAGAGGAGTGGTTTGTCCTGCCTGCCCGCCCTCAGCAAGCCTTGCTCAGTGGCAACCGTCCATTTCCTCTCTCCCTGTAGCGGTAGCACACCGACATCTCCAACTCAAGCAGACATGGTGAGTATTTAACCTACTATAATTTGTAGAATAAAGGACTTGGAAATTGTGTAATAAACTTGACTGAATGTCAGCCAGAGGTTCTTAAGTCTCTCCGGATAGTCATTTTGTTGGAAATATCCCGACGCCTTCATTGCAGAGAGCGCGAGTAGAATGGACTCGGGTGTAACAGTTACCGTTGAGTTAGCTAGCTTCAAGCTAACATTGTGGCGGCTAACGTTAGTCAAAGCGGCTCGCCGCTACGCGGGAGAAGCTTATTAACGTTCACCGTTGCTTAAGCTATTATCCGCCACTGAAATAATAACTGTAGTTGATATCACCCCGCTCTATAGTGTGCTACCTGTTAAAGGTGGCTACATTTTTACAGTAACGTTAGTTGTGGCGGTTCGGTTGGCTGTCAATGTTAGCATCACAGCTAATGTTAACTTAACGTTACATTCCTAGTTCCTGATTTTCCGGTATCTATGACACCGGTCAACCATGCGTTTACGCTTCAATTGTTGTGACGTTTGTTTGTTTCTGGATTAATGATTGAAATGTTCAGCATTGAATGTCTATAATTGGTGATGCCGGTCTTGCACCGAAATCTGTGACCAGTGCGATTCACAGACATTCAGCTACGAAGGAGACTGATGGGTGAAGTGTTGGTGGGTAACGTTACAGACAGATGTAACGTAACTTGCACCTTTGACCGCCAGTTCCTGCTACTACAGCTATCACTCACCGTAACAATTGTATTTATATAGGGTCACTTATGCTCATAGCTATCGACAACGCCCATCAAAGTACAACATATAACAATTGTAAAAACGTCCGTGGTGACAGCAGTCTTAATTAGGTCACAGAATATTTTGTAACACTTGTACATGGTCACATTGCCACACTATAAACCAGATATGCTTCACGTTCGCTACTGTTAATAAAGCTGCTATTTCAACATGTTGTTGATTGCTCTTAGAAGTGTAGTATGTCATATCTAACTGAACATAGCAAGCAAGAAGAAAGTATTTTTTTTTAATTCCTCCAATCTGAAACTGTTAAACAGTATAAATGTTTCTAAATATTTATCTCCCTCCCACCTCTGGTACAGAACTGTCTGCATGTCTGTGAAATGTGGCTTCTTATTAAATGTCCCTGGATCAGTCCCAAGGGAGAGGTAGCATCATAAACCAGTCATTGTCTGTAGTTTGTGGGGGAGTTACTTACATTCACATACATACAGTTGTTGCCATGTGGAAAATTGATTATATTGTGTGGTGGACCCCTTCTTCAGGATATATGTACGCCATCTGGACGCAAACCTTGTTTGACAGATGTAATCTGCTGAACACTTTGCAGACTGTTTTCTTTCATTAAACAGGCAAAGCTCTCTACTTCAGTAAACTTTATTAGTTATGGAAATGCTTTTTTATAAATCCTTTCACAACATTTCAATTCATGTTTGTAGTTGATCAGTTTCAGGATCACTTCTTAAAGCTACGAGAGCAAATTTGTTTCAGTAGCATTTTTTGTTATATTTGTTGAAATTCTCTTAACATCACATCAGCAGTCAAAAAATCCAATGCTTTGACACTAAAATGAAAACTATATGGTATCTGTGGCTGTAGCAGGACTGTAATGAGCACAGCCAGTCATTTCATTCAGCCCACCTGCTTATCTGTCTACCTACTGTGACTTGGAGAGAGGGGAAGGGATGGGGTGGGATTTATTTTGGTTGGATAATTTTAAAATGTAGCTGTCTCTTGCTAGTTTCTCCAACATTACGTTTCTTCCCCTGCTTTAGGTGAATTTTGGTTGGTGGTATTCTTTAACACATCTCCTTACATCTTAACTAACGCAGTGTTGTGTGTCAAAGAGTGCATCTGTTTTTGTGTCCCAGCATCTCATTATTTACTAAAAATTTTTGCTATAATATTGCTATAGTAAAAACCAGCAGGTCAAACTGGTGGACTAACCTGACTGAGTTTTTTTGTTCATTTTAGTTGTTTCTACACCTGTAGAATGACAGGCATAGCAGTCTGTTTAAGTAGCATGTAGTTTCTCAGCAGTGAGCAAATCCTACTTAATTTCTTGAGATGTTTGAGGTATTTGTAACATGATAAACATTACTGCTTGAAGATAACAAGTTATTGCAGCTTACAATTTCAGGTTACCTAAGCCAGAGTCAGTCAGATTTAAAACCGTGGTGTTTGATATTTGTACCAGTAGTCTGACATGTTTTCAAAATGAAGTATGGTAAACTGCTGAGCTACATATTACTACTAATTTGAAGGTTCCTATGTACATTTTAAAAGGGATTTGGTATTCTGGCCCCTTACAGGCATCTGTGGAATTAATTTCTGTAGCTATCTGTTAACATTATTTACCATAGGTACATGGTTGGGTTTTGATAGCTAATGCAACATGGTTTGACAAAGTTTGATACAGGAAGTAGTCATTGGGATTGCGACATCTCAAGTTGTCACGGTTCCTTTCAATTTGTAGGATTTGTTTGAGGCAGAAAGACTTGTCTTGAAGTCAGCATGTTCACCATAAGCCTACTTGATGTGAGAATAGGCCTATACTGGAAGTAAACTAGACACATTGGTGTGTTCGCACAGTCAGCTTTGATCATCACAGTGTGCACAGACTCGGTGGATGTGTATAGGCCTACATCTTTTACACATCAGCATTTGCTCTGCATTGCCACCTGTTTTATGGTGGTGGTGATCGTAAAGATGGAGAACAGGCCATAAAATGACCACAGTTAGAGCTGCTGTTGGTAATCACAGATTGATCTTGATTTTTTTGTAGCAGTGGTGGAATCAGTAAATTTAGATGAAGCTCTTCATTCAGTTTCTCCTAAAATGTCTTAATTCTGCCTATGTAAAGGCAGAGCTGTGGGCCCACATGTTGCTCGATCTAACAGGAACGTGGTCTGTCAGGCATTGCAGCGCCATGAGAGGAATCTGACCTGGGTATTAATAGGGTTAGCAGCTTGTAAACCATCGCTAGAGCGCGTACGTACATGGACACATGCACATCATCATTGTCGTTATCATCAGCCTCCAGCTCTGAATGCCTCGTTATTATTGAGTGATGGTATTAATGCCGTGTGAATGAAACATTTCAGGTTTGACCATTATTCGCTCCTCTCCTCTCTGCTTGACTTCGTCAAAAATCATTATCATTAATATTTTTGTCAATATTGAGATCACAGTTATTTAACAAGATTGACTACTCATTGATTTGGGACACATGTATTTATTGAACTTTAAAAAAAAAAAAAAAAAAAGATAATGTATGTGTGTATAGGGGCCCCTGCCAGAGGGGGCCATTTGGTGTGACCCATGATGCTGTCTAGGAGGTCAGATGAGCAGCCAACTGATCCTCCCTAGGAGCTGCAACTGTAGCAGTGAGATGACAAGCAACAGATTAACACATGCATATAGACACACACAACACCCATGTGACCTCCCCCAGTCTGGACACTGTTACTCTCACATGCCTTAAATCACTTTTCCTGACACATTTGAGTGACCTCCTCTGGCCTGGCCTCCAGGCCTCTAGACAGACACGTTCTTTCTCTGTTGAGGTGTTGAAGGCTCTTCATCTGTTGAACTACTGCAGGAGGTGGACACTTCATCTGTGCATCAATCTGTACTATACATCTGCTGGGGAGATGAACAGACCGCTAAGACATCACTGTCATGCCTAGGCTTACACACGCTGACATGGAGGCACAGGGAGCGGGGTTCTCCAAAGCTTCACCCAGTTGGGAGTCAACTGCAGCCAGAGAAGGACGGTGTCTGGTCACGTACACTCAGCACCGCAAGACACAAGGACAGAAAGAAAGACCGTTAAGCAGGTGAACAGACAGATTCATTAAGAGACAGACAGACATACGAGTGGACAAGTAACCAGGAAAACGTCAACAGAAAGACCAGCAGTTCCATCAGCTCTACATCCAGCTCATGGAGGAGACAGACAGGTCTGTCAAGTCAGCGCCAATCCACTGACCTTTGCTCCTCCAGAGGGATTGTGAAAACTTCTGTCATCTATGTAGCCATTTACTCACTCTGGATGCATTGAAAGACAAGTCCTGCAATTATCCTGTCAGCTGATCATCCTTCGCCTGTCCATCAAACAATTAAGCAACTAACAACTATCTGTTCTAGCACCTACACAAACCAGGACTTGGACTCAAGTTTTTTCCTCATCATATGTAACTATTAAGATGGAAAAAGCTTCTGTCCACCATTCCCTCTGTCCAGCCGTTTTACAAATCAGGAGCGACTGATAGATGTCTGGCCATTTTTTTCATCCAAGTATTCCTCCCGTCCCAAGTCGTCATACCTGCCCTTGCCAGCATCCCTTCATCATGCTGCCGAAGAAAGTTGCTGTGTACCCAGCAGAGGATGAGCTGGTGAGCTTGTCCACGGTCTATGACCTCTTGGACGAACAACAGCACTACTACAAGGAGCTCGTCCAGCAGCAGGAGAGGAACTACAGAGCCTTCCTGCAGATGTTGATGGACTCGTCGTCCAGCCGCATGGACAACCTGGTCAGAGAGCTGCATGACCTGAGGAACTGCCTGCATAGAGCGAAGGCCGAGCTGGCAGAGGTTAAAAAACAGGGCGTCCAGAACAGCAAGCGGGCCGAGTACCTGGCTGAAGGATTGGTGATGGTGCGGGGGGCGCTGGATGGCCTCAGCATCAAAACGGGACTAACTGGTGGAGGTGCAGGAGGAAGAGGTGTGGATCTGAAGCAGCGCAGAGGAGGTGGTGGGTTAAGGCTGGATGGAGGAGGCCGAGGTGGAGAGGCGAAAAAAACAGAACCGAAAGCAGTAAAGCTGGTGGCAGACCTCACAGATATCCACTTTGACGACATAAAGGTTGTACACAGATGTACACATAAAGCTTTTAGCTGCACTAGGTGGTATATTGGTGTTAATATGTCAATGTTTTGAGAAAGAATATGACATTGGAAAAGATTTTTCTCTGACTAGATATTGGTATAAGTGTAAAAACACAATTGCGTGTTGTTGCATCACTCTGAGTGTAGCTTAAAATATAGTTATTACTAGTTTCTGATCCCAAGTGCTCCTTTGTGTCTGGTTGTTATGGTCACAGCACTTTACCTGTGACACACCCTAGTTTTAACAAAGTGTCCTTGAAAGTATATGATCACTTGAGATTGTTGAACACGTGGTGTCGATTGCTGATTGGCTGTTGGCAAGGAAGTAGAGTTTTTAGCATCTTGTAAGTAAATGAGAAATACTGCGTTGGTCCGGGATCTGGCTTAATGGAGACGTGTCACTGTTTGTGTCCCAACCATTAACTGAAGTATTAAGCCGTTTTGCTATTTTTGTAGTATAATGTTTCTCCTCTCCCTTCCTTTCTCCTGTCTTCTCTCTGTTTTTGTTTATTAGGCTGACCAACTAACAGAAGAGCAGATTGCAGGTAAGCTGACAATATTGAAACACTTCTTCACCATCTTTACCAATAAACACACATTCTCTTCATAGATATGTGCAGTATCAGCTGGAATATCAGTGCTGTTGCTATTGTTTTCTTTTTCATCCTTACCTCTCCTTTTCCTTGTGCCTATCCAGAGTTCAAGGAGGCCTTCTCCCTGTTTGATAAGGATGGAGATGGAACCATCACTACTAAGGAGCTGGGCACCGTCATGAGGTCACTGGGTCAAAACCCAACTGAGGCCGAACTCCAGGACATGATCAATGAGGTGGACGCAGATGGTATGCTATGATTCCGCCTCAACATGGGGAAGGATTTTGTTAACTATGTTAACTGGTTGTATTTATAACTTGCTTCTGCCCTTTTTCTCTCCCACCCAGGCAACGGGACCATTGACTTCCCCGAGTTTCTGACGATGATGGCAAGGAAGATGAAGGACACCGACAGTGAGGAGGAGATCAGGGAGGCATTCCGGGTCTTTGATAAGGTAAGCTTTATAAGTTTTGGCATTAATACACAAAACTCAGTCTGAAATCAGTGTTCCCTAAGTTTGAGATGACAACAAAAGAGAGGGACTACATGCCTGTTTGGCCTGACAACAATACTACAGAGTGTCTTCGTTGTAGACCATGTGTGACTGACTGTAATGCTGTATGTTTGTTTGTCAGGATGGCAACGGTTACATTAGCGCAGCAGAGCTGCGTCATGTAATGACTAACCTGGGAGAGAAGCTGACAGACGAGGAAGTAGACGAGATGATCAGAGAAGCAGACATTGACGGAGACGGACAGGTCAACTATGAAGGTACTGGAGCTCAAAGATTCTCCAGTGTTATGATTAATTATATTTATGGAGCAGAGCTGAATTATGTAAGCTGACAAACACTGATGATAGACAGAAGCTCTGTGGTCATTTTGTGTGTATGAGGGAGTGTCTAGTGGCTGGGTTCTTTTAGCCTAATCAATTATGATCTTTTACTCTGCTGTAGTACAAGTGAAACACTGTTCCTGATGGGTTTTTATTGTTTTTTTTCCCTCCCACAGAATTTGTTCAGATGATGACCGCCAAATGAACTGGGCTCATGTGAAAGACAAAGAATCAGTCAAATGTTTCACTTACCTCTTATTGCAAAAATCTACATTTATTCATACTGTTCTGTATAGACAACTTAAACTGAATGTTGGAAAACTGAAAATCTGTCCATATAAACAAGCTCAAAAAAGGTAAAAGACAAAAAGAAAAACCTAAATGAATCTGCATGTACTGGCTTGTATTCCTGCCCCCCCACCCCCCCCCCACCCCAGCGCTGAGCTGCCCAATCAGATCTCAAGTTGTTAGCCAAGCAGCCTCTCTGCAGCTGGCTTGTTTGGCCACTGCTCCTCTGCTTCCTGGTTCCATCTGCCTGATGTCATGATGATTATATGGGCTGGCTGATTGCCTTTCTTCTATGACTTCCTATTTTCTTTTTTTTCTGTTCTTCATGCATGCAGCTTTAGATGGGTTACTGTTGAGAGCCCCGTGGCAGAAAGCTGTTGTTGGGCCTCAGGTTGTCCTGGGACCCACAGAGACGAGGGAGGGGTTAGTTGACAGATGGGTGGGAGGGAGTGAACCAGCCGAACCTTTGCAGTTTGCTTAACTAAAAGAAGTCCGTGACGATAGAGATATTTTTAAGAAAAATATTAAAATGGAATAAACATGTAACTCATTTTAGATTCTGTGTTTCTGGCATGTCAGGATACTCGCTTTATCCTTTTGTGTGTTTACCTTTTTTGAGGGAGAAGCCTGGGTGGGGCATAGATTTGAGACCCTTGGGTGGTGGGTGTTCTAGACTATTTGGAGGGATTGGGTGGGCTTTATTAAAGATGATATACACAAGCAATGTTTGGGGCGATATCATTATCAGTCTTTGCATAGAGATTAACGAATGATGAAATAAGTTTGTAAATCAGTAGAGAACTAAAACGTGGGGTTATTCCTCACTAACGCATGCAAGCAAGGTACAGTATATTGCCTCAAAGGTTGTATGTGAATCATAATTCTACAAGGGTGTTATTTTCAGTTTAGTGGGGACGGGCTCGGTGCTTTGCAGCATTTCTATCTTGTGTTTGTGCGTGAGTGTGCGTGTGTGGGTGCGGCGAGGTCCGGCCCAGTCCAACTGTTCTGTTTAGTTCAGTTGATCTGCATTCCAAGTTGTACATGCTAGTCTTTACATTTTGTTTTTCCAATAAAATACCATGAACTAACATCTTGTATCGGGTCTTTGTCTTAAAAATGAGCCGACTTGTGTTTTCTCTCAGTGAAGGCTGAGTCTGTGGGGGAAGAGCTGCTTTAAAATGACTCATCTGTGCTACTTATTACATACAGTGTCTTTGTAACTCTGTAAAGTAGACACTAAAGCCCACATAAAAACAAATTTTAGAGGGGAATTAGTCAGCTCCTGCATTCCTTAATGAACGGTTATCAGTTCAGACAGTTGGTCTGGTTTTCAGAGAATGCACCAGATTAGAACAGAAGTTGCAACTAGTCTGTCTTTTATACCATATTGGCACAGTGGCTAGGTGATTGCACAGTATGGGAAATCAAATGTCAGGAATAAAGTAATACTAAAACCCTTGTTGATACAGCTGTTCATAAAAAAAGCACCTGACAGAACAACATACACATACAACATCCTGTCAGTGTCTGTTTTGTTGAGTGAGGCTTTTTAAAACATGGGACTACTCAAAGGTCTGTGTGTATGGAGGGGTGTCACAAGGGCTTCTCCAGATCCACCAGTCTGTCTACAGATGAGGAGGTGTTGCTAGGCAACAGAGCCAGGCATGAGGTGGGTGGACGTGAAGGAGAGGGAGCAGAAAACTGTGGGAGTTTGAGGAGAGCGCAGGGGGAGTTGAAAGACAATAATAGAAACCCAGGACTTGAGGGAGAGGAAAAAAGCGAGGGATGAAAACAGATGCACAGTGCATCTCAAAACCCATAAAACGTCTCCTCCTAAGATACATCCCTATTTCTAATACAGAAGCTGGTACTCTGATGGAAGTTTTAGGTGTAACGAAGACACCAGAGACTTCGCTTCATTACTGGGGAGCTATGTTAATAAGCAGCCCAACGTCATGTTTGTACTTGTGGTGTATGCGCTGATGCTACTTTCTAGAACATACAGACAGAGATGGAGAAGTGAAAGAGGTGTTAGGTTTGTCCATGTATCACACACACATTCAGTAGCTGTAGTTACATGACTGTCTGAAGTGTATTAATATATCTTGCCGCTTGCTATTAGTGAGCTGCCACTCCAACGTTAACAGGGTTTCCAATCCAGAAGCGTCTTTCTCACATTCGCTTCAAATTCATCTCACACATGTACACAGAGTGTATCCTTCACAAACATATACTCCCCCCACGCTGAGCTCCAGCTTTCACCTACATAAATGTTTTAGTTTTTCACCTGACAGCCAGAAGAATGGAGTGGACAGAGTGTGTGTGTGTGTGAGTGTTGGACATCCCATGATACTGTACAGGGTAGATATTCAGCATATTTGTTTCTAAGATTTGTTTTATTGACAGATGCTCACTTTACAGTGCAGTTTGAATGTACAGAACAAACTTAATAGTAATAATAATTATTATAATAAGCCAACTTAAATTTGCGTATTACTAATGAACCAAAAACAAACAACAAAAAAGAAACCAGTAAGTATAATAATAATAAATTCTTTCTTTTCTCTTTGTCTTTTTCCTTTCAAACTTGTATATACATTGAGGAAAATCACCATTTTTAAAAAATATTTTAGCCGTTGCAGATTGTCAGAATTGATAAATGATTTGAATCTGCACGTTAAAAGGTTTCAGCCTTCTGGAAGAAAATACTCCTTAGAAAAAATATTACTTTTTTCATATCAGGACAGAGGAATGCTCCATTACAAACTAAGGTCTAGTACTCAACATTTGACTTAAATAAACAAGTGTTCACAGTAAATGTAGTGAAACATCCAAAGTAAATGTACTCATGGTAAAGAATGGTCACTCCCACAGTGTTAAGATCGTGTTAACATGTAGTCGGACTGCTGCTTTACTGTCGAGGAGGTTAAAATAAGATGCCCTGTATCCATTTGAGAACCACGTATCTCCATATTTGGCGACTTATGAATTTTTCAGAAAAACTTAAGATTGATGGTTCTTTTATGAAGCTGAAAACACTTGAAATGTTGATGTTCTACAACAACTGTGCTCCTCTACAAGTTGAAAAATACCTAAGCTGATACACTTAAGTTTATTTTAAGAGTTTGAATCAGCCGCCAGATGAATCTACTATTGTGTACCTCAAATTGTACTCAGGTACAGTCCAACCTGTCTTATTCTGTAACTTCTAAAATGGCTGTCTGAAGTCCTCAGCATATGGTTAATGATATTTTCAGAGTAATGCTGATCAAATGTACAATCAATATCAGCTCCGCAGACAGCGCTCCTCTGGGCTGCGGCCATGACCTTTCAGGGGGGGGACTAACTATTAGTGATACCCGAGAATCCAGCAGTAGCGAGGGGGCTGAGTGTGAGACTGAACTGTAGATTCCTGATGCTCTAGGACAAAGCTTGTCAGCGCTGTAATCCCCTGATAAAAGACAAACAAAAGGAGGACACACCTATCCACTGACAGACACACACCTGAGAAAGTAACACACACTGCTGGCCCTGAGGTCACAGCCAGAGGGAACACCACACACAGACACACAGGTTTGTCCTAAACACACTAAACATTTGTTTCTCATTAGCACATAAATTAGGAGTAGAAGAGACCAGGGGGAAGAGCATTAAATGTTTTCCATATTCAATATATCAGACAGACAGGAAGTGCCACTTGTTTTTCAACCACTTTTATTATCTTTGTCATTATTATTATCCTAATTTCAGTCATTCATTTACACCACAAAGGACTCACTGACTGCACTTGTGTCAACAAACTGAACCACTTCATCCTTTTATCTCTCCAACAGCATCCCATCACTCTCCAGAAAATAGAATTATAATTTACTTTCTAAAATAATAATAATAATAATAATAATACATTGGGAACAATCAAATATACAACAATAATCCATTGTCTTTATAATCAAAAATCTAATGGAAAAAATATTCATCTAGTTGTATTTTAACATAACACAGTCACTGGTTGCATTTACACACAACAGAAAGTCGGACTTTTTAGAAAATGTCTGTAACAGATTCCTCCCATTCACGCTTACAATGTGTTAAAATAAAATGTAACATAGGAGCTCCAGCTTTCCGCGAGTTTATATGAATGTTAACCTGCGACATTGTGGTGTGGGGGTTTTGAAAGTTGCACTCTTGTGTTCAGCTTGTGTGACTCTAGCTGCTCACGCTAAAAACCGTCAGCTTGTCCAAATAGATCAAAAGTATAAAAACATTTACAAACGCAAAAGTGGAAATTGGACTTATTTCACAGCAATAGTGGCATTTTGGGGAAATACGCTCATTCGCTATGAGGTGAGAAGTAGCCGTTGGTTAGCCTAGCTTAGCATAAACAATGGAAACGGGGGAAAGGCAAGCCTAGCTCTGTCTAAAGGTAATAAAGTCTGCTTACCAGCACCTTGAAAGCTCACTAATTAGCATGTTAGATCTCATCTGTCCGTTGTCCATTGCATTTGTTTTATACAAATGTATGCCAGTATGCAGATTTTGTTACCACGCTAGATGTTTCCCCATGTTTCCAGCCATTTTACTAAGGTGAGTTAATCGTCTGCTTTGCAGTAGCTTTACCTTCACCGTACATCTACGTCTCAGCAAGAATGGAAAAATGCATTTCGCAAACCATTACTTGAGCTTCAAAGCTTTTTTTTTGGGGGGGGGGACCGAATTATAGTGCACATATTTGAACATTTTGTAAACGGTTCAACAAACGAGCATGTAAAGGCTGTACACTGGGGATAAAATGTGCTTTAATTTAAAAATGTAGAAAAGAACAACCCACAGCCGTCCCTCGGACATCAGCAGTTTCATATCTGATCTCCTGTGTGTGTAAATGCAGCCTGTGTTTTGGCATTAACGTCACTGACTGTTTGAGTCTTCAGTGCTCTTAGGATCATGTCTGTTGATCCTCCAGTAGGTTCTCAGAGATCTGGCTTTCCTGAGCCAGCTATACAGCAAGTGAACATATGAGTGTTATCAGTAATATTTGGCTTATAAAAAAACATTAATAAAACTTGCCCATAATTCATGGTGTGTCAAATTTGCTAGATGTACCCTCAGTATGTGAAAGGAAAAGCAAACTGTGCGGGCTCGTAAATTTGTGGACTAAATAACTAAATGTTATTAGGCTAGCAATGGCAGAGTAGGAATTCAAAGTGAATCTTATTTACATGTGTGAACAGGACAAATCATCTGCAAATCACATACAAGCAGACACAAATATGCACATGCAACATGTTGGCACACATACACAGAAATGGGTCCACAGTCAAAAACAGGCACACAGAAAGTGCAGATCGACACACACATGCAATGTATCCGCGCACTGACACATGCCCCCCATACACACACACACACGCACACACAGCCAGGGCTCACAGCCACAGCAAAGCATTGTGGGAAGGGTTGGTGGGTGGGGGGAAGCGTGTATGTATGTTTATGAGTACGAATTGCATTTACAGTGTGTGTGTATGTGTGTGTATGGGGGTCACTTGTGCCACTGTGCTACAGTAGTGAGGCTATAACTGTCAAAGTGAATGTCTCATAGTGCTCTGGGTATGATGGTGAAGGGCAGAATGGGGCTGCTGGCCTCCAGCTCCAAGGCAGTGAGGAAACACTCGGTGGCAGCGGCAGCGTTTCCCTGAGCCTGCAACACCTCACCCAGGCTGTTCCACACATCATGAGCCGTGCTGAGGAGAGGAGGGGAGGAATAAGGAGAGGAGGGGGAGGAGGAAGGCAGGAGGAGAGGAGGAAATAATAGATTAGGAAACAGGAGAGAGGAGAGGAGGTCGTGGGAGATATGATAGGGGAGGTGGATAAAGAGGAGAGGAAAAGGGAAGTGATGAGAGAGAACGGGGAAGCAAGGAGAGGAGAGGGAATGAAAGAGTAGAGGACGGGGAGATAGGAGAGAGGAGAGGAAAAGGGAGGTGAGGAGAGAAAAGAGGAGAGGAGAGGAAAGAGCAAAAATATTGTAGTGAGTTTCCCTAAAATATAACAATCATGTACATTGCACTGATAACCACACACACTTACCTGTTGACCTGCACAGCATCCCTCAAGACCTTTTCAGACAAACTGTAGCGCTGCAGCTGGTGAAGAATCAGACCCTGACGAGCGGTAGAGAGACAAAGAATAATAAAAAACCCTTTCATTTACTTCCATTAAAAGTAAGCTTTGATTCAAGTTTGACCAACATTAAGGACATTAATAAGTATGCATGCTAGTTTGGGATGGAGAGGACAGTGCTCCAAATGGGACTGAGCCAATAAGAAAGAGGTAGAGAGAGAGCATAAGAGGGAGACCCTGATCCCTCTCCTCGTGGAAGGTCTAATGGGGCCGTCCCTTACAGAAACACAAACCCTCAGGCTGTATGGACTCTGCAGGAGGACGGGACAGGATTTTTTATGTTCCCAAGAGGCCGCATTCAAGAACAGAGCAGCAGGAGAACATTAGAGTGTGTGTTTTGTGTATTACCAGTCTCTGCATGGTCTTGACATGCGTCGGGTTGATGGACAGCGCCTCTTCATACCAGCGTTTGGCATCGTCCATGTTGCCCCTCAGCTCGGCTATCTGCCCCCTCATGTACAGCACGTTATGAGATGTGGGGAAGAGGTTGGCAGCTTCTTGTGTGCAGGCCGAGGCCTCTGCAGGCTTTGACATGCCGGTGTACACCTCAGCTGTTAGAGAAACCCAGTCAAGGAGGAGAGATTGCAAACATGAGTGTTAGGTGCGAGTGCAGCAAGTTTAGTTTTATTAAAATGCGCAACTTGCAGCAATTTCATACATCAGTTTCTTTGTCGGATCAGCCAATAGCTTGGTATAAATACTGTTAACAAAAATAACAGACAGGCTCTAAATTTAGGACTGCATTCCCCATAAATGCTGTTGCTCTGTGGTACAAAGAGGATGCTGCCCCATCACAAGTAACATTTCTGAACCTGTCAAACTGAACGGATGTATCAAAATTAGATATTTTAACAGTAGTCTTGACATTTGCAGCTCTTGAGTTAAAGTAAAATCATTTAAGAGTCACAAACAGGAGGTAAACATATTTATGAAGGAAACATTTAAAAAAGGAATAATGAGAGAGAAATGAGAGGTAATAGGCACAAGTCAGTTGTTCTCCCTCAAATTGTATCAATAAGACAAACATTTTCAGTAGCAAGGTCACATAATGCATGCTGTGTATCACTGCAACGACGACAGAAAGATCCAAAGAATGAGACAGGAAATGCATTGAACTGTCTGCCTGTCTGTGTCCGTGATTGGATGATTATATTAGCTGTGTCGCCAAGCTGGAAATGACCACCTCTGACAGGAAGCAGCTGGAGAGATAAACAGGAGCACAAACAACCTCCGTCTATGGGTGTGTGTGTGTGTGTGTGTGTGTGTGTGTGTGCGCGCGCGCGCGCTGCCTGCATCTGCTTCGGTACACTCTTCAGTCTGCTTCTGTTTGTCTCTACAAGTGTCTGCTGGTGACGCAGAAACCGAGCTCCAAAGGAAATCTCATCTGGTGTGATTGCAAAGGCTATCAAACAGCTGTTACAGTCCCGCCAGCTAGGGCCAGTACACTCACCCCAACTTTAAGTCTGTTTGTTTAATGAAGTCTGTGCCAGGAGGAAGATCATGTGTGTCATTATGGGAGAAAACGTGATGGGCAAAAAAAAATAACTAAAAAAGATGGAACCAATATCAACCACAAATCACAGCAGACCGGTTGAAGGGGGTGACGCATTTTGGGATGTGACGGTGGCTTTGAATTCTTTTTAATGATACACACTGTGGCAAAATATAGCATTTTTGGTTGCAAATATGCCACTTTAACTGTGTTTTATTTAGTATGGAGAATACCATACTGCCAGCCAAATGTTTTATATCTCTGTATAACAGAAGGGTATTTATATTGTTTACTGTAAGTGTAAACAATATTCTGGAAATATAACAAACATGACCTTTAAAATTTCCCTTTAGAGATCGCATCTGTGCTGGCACTTGTACTACACAATCATCTAAATCCGTGGTCCCCAGGCCTTTTACTTTGTGACCCCTTAAGTGACAGGTTAAGGCCTTTTAGTGTCGACATGGGTCGTCAGCAGTGATTTTTCCCTCTTGGGGTTGTTTTAATTGAAGGATTTTTCTTTCCTGAATAGTTAAAAGTATGAAGTATTTCATTTTCTTCATCCAAGAAAGTGTAAACATACAAACTATTTTCGGTACTAGATTTTTTCTCTCGCCCTCAGATATATTTCACTTGGGGCCCCACGTTTGGGAAACTAAGTCATTTGGATTGAAGTGTCATGTGCTTTCCAAACAGGCTGATATAATTTGCTAACACCAAGAAATATTAGCTATACTCAGGTTCAGATGCGGATAAATGCTACATGAGCCTATAGGGTATGTTTTTATATAGATGTGGTCAGACAGGAACCACAACATGGAACCACCTCATCATCTCATCTAGTTTTTCCTCACTCAGCAAACCCCGTTTAAAATCTCATTTTAAAATAAAGCTTAAATACCAGCCCCGAGCCTTTATCTGTTGCACTTTCATGCAAGTACTGTATGTGTACTTGTGCATACCTGCATGCAGCCAGATCTGCGCCAGGGTCATCCAGGGGTGCAGGGGTCCATGTTTGGGGGCACTGCTCTGCAGTGAGGAGGCTACCTCAGACAGAGCCTGCTCTACGCGACTGGCTGCTATAGATGTGGCATGAACCGAACCTGGAGGGAGAGAATCAAATCATCACACACGCCATCTCCCAGAAGTACTGACTTACTACCACGGCAGCGTTAGGCAGCCACGTGCCACAATGCAGGGTTTTAACTCAGCCAAACACAACAGCAGGTTTCACTGATTCCCACGACTTCAGACAGGAAAGAGGGATTTCTCAGTGAAACCTGCCGTGTTTGGGTGCAGTAAAAAGCTCAAGACTCTGGGCCCACATTGGCACACAGCTTCCTGTTCCTGCACTAAAGCCTTTAATCACTCCACTGCAACACACTGTGTTACGGCCCTGGATTAACCAGGTTAAAATGAATTAATTTGTGCACCATGCATAAAACACAGCATCAACCTGCACTCTGCTGATTAGTAATTGAAAGAAGTGCGCCTCTGATTTTGTCTCTGCAGTTAAATTACATAAAATCATGGCAGGAAATGGCCCCCACATGGGACTGCAGATGCACACAACAGATCTGTGAAAGCACGACATAACAAGATGTCTGTGTTGTCAACTCCATCATGTCCTTCTAAAGTTAAATAACACACATACTTATCTTCGATTGCCTATTCATCTATTGCGTGTTGTCATACTGATGACTGGGTGTCACTTAAACTGATGACCAAAAAAAACGCCTAACCATTACTGAAGCATTATTTGCTTCTCTACCATTTATCTATACGCTCAGTATGTTGCCCAAATTGTGTTAAATATGCTGCTTCTGTCTGAGCTTTGAAGAGGCCAGTGCTGTGATATGGCATGTACTGTATTTTGCAACATGCTGAGCAAAATATGGATGTGAGATGTGGACCTTTTTACAGGCATCTCTCAAGCCTACATGGGGCATGTGATTGACACTCCAAACTTACATTTCATAGGTGGAATATCTGTTGAAGGTACAGATATATAATGATATAATAATAGTAATATAGATACAGTTCAGTTGATAAATATTGACTCAACAATGATGATTTATTCCACTATGATCTGTTCTATATGTATCTAATTCTAATTTGTAGAACTGCTCTTACTGTCTTAACATTATACAACAGACTCTTCTGTTGCTCATGCCCTCATTAAATGCTGTAAAATATTGATTATGCAATGGATTTCTTGAAAACCCTGGGGGAAATAATGACTGATCCAAAGACAGTCCAGGACAACATTTTGGCTAAGGGCTTGTTTTGTTTTATTAAACTGCCGTGTCGAATGCAGCCTAAAAGTGATTGGATAACATTAATATGTGCCTCTTTTTTTCTTTTTTTTAATAAAATGACTTGCTTTACTCTAATAAAAGATCTCTTATTATTTTGGTCTAAACTCCCAAATACTCATCCTCCTTTCACTAAGTTCATATGAACGTAGTGTTAAGGGACAGAAACTACCTGTGTGAAGATGAGAGAGAAACAAATAAAAAGAGAAGATTTCATTTTTAAAGCTCTGTGTGTGTAGGAACAAGAGTGGGTTGCTGACAAGTTGATATAGGGAAAAGGCAGAAGGATGTCGCTCTCTCTTGGAGTAAGCTGAGTAGCCTGGTTTAATGGGCACATTTTAAGAAGTCAGTTATTAGATGCCGGCATGCAGCAGCCCAGCACAGTGCAGCACATTCAAACATGTTACAGTACATTGAAACAAACTGTATTGTTGAATATTTTTGCTTCTTGGTGTGTGAATGACAATTTCCGCACAGTAAATTTGACAGCCCGCTAAGGCAAAGTTTACAGAAAACTCACTGCTTATCAGAGAGCTTT